GTAAATCAAGGACCAAAAAATGTACAAATGGGTTTGGTAACAGCACAGATGAACATTAATACTGCTGCATAGTCAGAGGGAGCAGTTTGTTTGGCAAACCGGGAAGCATCTGGTGTAAATCTTTGAAAGGAGTGAGCTCATGCACTGTCATTGTCTGGCTTTCACTTGGTACCCAGGTCAGAAAACCTAATTTCTCTAATAATTCCAGAAACCTGTCTGTCTCTATGTGGCTTGTGTATCTGAAGAACCATTCATCTTGACAAGTGTTTCTTAAGGGCCCAAAGAAATGCGAGGTTGAATGTGGTGCAATTTGGACACACAATACATTGAATATTAATACATTTCAAATAAAAAGGCGATCAGCGCTCTGTAGCAGTGGCTGGGACTCATCAATGTAAGTGATGTCGATCCTGAAAACAGCACATTCTTGATAACAGGCGCATGAACAACAGTGCCAAAGACAAGCTCCAGTTCAGGGCTCATCACTCCTCATCACCGTGACCTCCAGTGCTCGGTGTGTTTGCACCAAATTGTTTGTGCACGCTCGCAAATGATAGGTGTCCTGGTGGGTGTGCGCGTGCATGTGTCCTTAAGTGTTTGTGTGCGCGTCTCATTGTGTTTGCTTGTTTACCTGCGAGGGGGTGATAAGGGCCAGTGCAGAGCGTGTCCTTTGTTCTGTCGGAATTACTCACCCCCCTGTGTCAGCGGGGGTAATGTGACCCGGCTTTATCAAAGGTTCGGGCCTGAATAGTCAAAACCAAAGTGAGTTAAAATGTATAGAGACTATGAATGTGTCAGCAAACCTGTTACAACAATGCTAATTATATTAGTGTGAGTTTTTATAAAGGTTGTATGGAAACACACACTCCTACATATACACCGTGCACTGTGTGGTCATAACTCGTGTTCATTCAAGTAGCCATAACAAGTGTTTCTTTTCCTGTTGGCCGTCTGAGTCACAGGCTGCGGTCGAGGTGTGACACACAACTCTGTCTCTGCCTGTCTCCATCTCACCCCCTCCATCCCTCCCTCCCCCTTTCTTCCTTTATATCATTCCCTATCTTTCTCTCTCCTCTCTTTTCTATGTTGCTATCTCAGATTTCTACCCATTTAATTGTCTGTCTTCCTTCCTTTCAGTCTCTTCCTCTTCTGTGTTGTTCTCCCCTCCTCCTCCTCTCACTCAACTGCTTGTATTTGTCGACTTCCTCCCTCCCCTCTCGTGGCTCCCCCCTCCTCTCTCTCTCTCTCTCTCTCTTACTGTCAAGCCAGCCCCAGCCGCAACAGCGGTAGCGCCAATAGCTCACTCTCGCCAGTTCTCAGTCACGGTGTAGGCTGCGGTGTGTTTGTGTGTGTGCATGTGTTTCATGTGCGTGCATGTTTACAATGCATGTATCAGCCAGTGTTGCCTGCAGCACTCTAAAGAGCAGATATACATGGAGTTACTCTAACTGAGGACTGACGGGAAAGATCGTCCTGGAGCTCATTAAGAGGAAGAAGGAAGACATAACATCTCTTTTCTGTCCCTACTTTATTTCAGTCTGTCTTGCTTTCTGTCTCTGGCCTCTACATATTTCTGTAGCTCTTTTCTCCACCGGTTTACCTGCTTGCTGCTAGGACTGTGTGCAACAGAACTGTAAGTGGACTTCCGTGTGTGTGTGTCTGTGTTTGTTAAAGTAAACTGTATGTGGATTTTCTGTGTGATCTCACTCTTTGTCAGTCTATAACCCACTGTGGTCATAATTTGCTTGCCCGACTGCACACATTTGCATGCTAGTGTAAATGGCATGTCATGACATCTCTAACGACTTAATTAGGCCAATTTGTAAAGCCCTGTTTGTAGTGGAGGAGCAGCATATCTATGTAGACACCACTGACCTCCCATGCTATAAATCTGCTTATATTCATAAATGTGTGCCAGATGCATATTATTCAGCGAGTGCCAAAACTGTCACTGCTGCCATTTATATGAAATGTCATTTGTTGGCGTAGCATCTGAATGAATGCCCTCTCCTCCAGGTATTCTCTGCAGTCTGTGTGTGTGAGTGAGGGACATATAGGGAGAGAGGGAATGATGGAGAGAGTTAGTGTGTGTCTATGTGTGTGTGTCACTCTGTCACCCAGGGCATTGAGAAAATCAATAGATCTACAGCTTGAGTTGGACCATTTACCTCTGCCAAGTGATGGGCAGACACTTTGGCCTTCAAAAAGCCACAGACAAGCTGCCTGCGGTAGACTTACAGTATGCCAGCTCTGCGTCCTCCTGCACAAGTGCCTTTCAGTTTCAATCCTCAATTGAAGCGTGTATTTGTCTCTCGGTTCATGTAAAATCATCTCACCAGCAAAAAAACTGTCACTTCTTCTGAAAACTTGTGAAGGGGGTCATAGATCAAAAGTTTCTCACATGGCCAATAGAAGCAGTCAAGACAATGAGCAGGAGCAGGCGGAAAGATGGATAGAAAGAGGAGAGAGCCAGAGCATGTGAGAAGGGAACAGAGCGAGACCATCATAATCAATCCTCCATGATCCTGGAAGAGCATCATTTATCTTCTTTTCTCACTCCACTCCTCCTCTTGCCTCCATCTTTCGCTCATTTTCTGTGGTATAGCCACTTTGATCTTGCGTAAGAAGACGGTCTCCGGAGCTTCATTACTTTTAAAGCCTCCATCGTGAGGGGCCATAAAAAGATGCTAAGGAATGGATTTTTAAGACCATTTACCAGGCGTTCTGTACTGGCTCGCGAGTAATGGCTACATAGGGATATAATGTTCCTCCATGGTGTGTTATGCCCTTCTGTGCCTGGTGCCCTGGCTTATCAGGGCAAACTGGGATTGGCCATAACACGTCAGTGCTGAGGAATATGACGTTGTGCATATTAAGTGTTGCCTACTGGGTATCCTGGCTCTGTTTAATTCATGAAGACATGGAAGTGAATGTGGTTGTTAGGTTTGTGTGTCTTTCTGAGTAAATTTCTTTTCTACCTTTGACTATTTTTCAGTTTCACATCACACTGTTGACCAACCTTGTGTTCGGGTCTCTTCCTCTTTCTCTTTCTGTGTGTACGCATGCGTGTGTGCCTCAGTGTTTGCCCACTTGTGAGTGGGCTGGGACATGGGAGCGTGTTTGGGGCAGTGTTTTGCCGTAAGCATATAGGGATTGGTATGAGGTAGCAGCGAGAAAATGATTGAGAGAAAAGGTCAGTAGACAGGATGGCCTTTTCCTGTCTACAGGAGACTGCAGGGAGACCAAGAAAGGGGAGAAAAGGGAGTGAAGGGGGAGGAAGAGGGAGGAAGCTAGATTAAAGCTTCAACTGCGAACAATTGAAGAAAAGAGGAAAAAAAAAATGGAATGTCCGAATAACAGCAGCGTGAAAATATTTTCTGCAGCAGACAAAATCTAATCTCATGAAGTTAAACATCAGAGTCATGCCTCTCATTACCTTATTATAGGGAACGTAACAGTCATGAGACCTGTGTGTCAGGGTGCTTGCTCTGATCCGTCACGGCCACTTAACCACTGCTGCCATGCGACCCCAACTCTATGACACTGTTCCACATTCTCTTTTTACAGTAATTCACAACTGAGACACTGATATCTCAACTCTTATTATCTGACCATTTCCAATCCAGGTTTTTCCTTTCAGGTGCTGGCTCAGACTCAGCTCATTTCTCTCTGGCTCGGTTGGGTTTCGGACAGAATATTTTAGCCTGAGCCAGACTGTGTTTGACTTCTATTCGGGGAAGCTGTCATTTTGTCCACCTTTACATTCATTAGAGTTATTGTTGATGTAAGGTAACAAGGTCAGGGACTGCTGTCACACTACAAAGGGCTTTCTGTCCCTTTACAATAGGGATATTTAAAAAACCAAGAAGACACTATATGTAGATTTGTAATGTTGTGACAACCGCTGAAACAGTTAATGAGGTAGAGTTTATTTTTTATTACTTTATAAAATAACTGCCATACATTTTAAGATGTGATCATTTTATGCAGGTTCAAATCCAGAACCTTCTTGCTGTGAGGCAACACCACTGCGCTGCTCTTCACATACAAGGCTGGAGTTACTTTCTAATATTTTTATGACATTTTTTGATCAATAAAAAAGAAGTCAGTCGAGAATATGAAAAAAATTGTTGTTGTGCTTTATAAGGAACAGACTGATCTGTTGCATCATTTCAAAGGCTGACTCCTTTTCTGTTGTCTCTTCACTATAAGGGGGAAAATTAAAATGTATGTGGTGCAAGGAAGCTCTCTGGTGTGCTTTGCATCCATTTACAAAAATGTCTTTTCTTCTATCTTCACAGGTATAGTCGAGCCTTTCACTGTTCTAGAGAAGCACACTGGGGCAAGACACAAGTTGTTTTTGTATTGTACTGTCATCAATAATGTTGTAAAAGAAAAAATATATAGCCAAGGATATTGAGTCTATGCCAGTGGGATGAAATGTGTGGAATCACCTTTGTACCCGTTGTTAATTACCTGCATTTTATTTTAGCTTTGTGTGCAACAAGCCTGTGACCTTGGCGTGGTCTTAACCCTCCCCTCCTCCAGCACAAGCTAGCATGTTGACGATGTTACTTGCAGGTGCAGCACGTGTCTGTCTGCATGTGTGTCTGTGTGTGTGTGTTTGTTTTCTACAAATGTGGATCATCTCTCTTCTTTACTGATGGGCTCGTCCCCTACCTCTCTCTCCGTGACCCAGTTCTGGTGCGCTGACACCCCTGTTCACATCACGCCTGCAGCAAACACGTTTTGTCAGAGCAGCGAGAAAGAGACTGAAAGGGGGAGTGGATTGTGTGTCCACGCTTCGTGTCAACATCTTTGCTTCTTTAAATCTCAGGGCTTGAAGTGATTTTTGACGCATAGTGTCTGTCACTGCGATATGATCAAAAGAAGAAAATACCTGTCTTTTTCTGTTGCTTAATTTTTTTAACTGTTCACTCGGTGCTGAAATACTCCACCTCTTGTTAATCGGCTTTTGTCTTCTCTCTCTGGTTCCGCAGAGCAACTTCCTGGGCAGTGCCACATTTTCTGTCGGTGATCTGCTGAGGGCTAAAGATGAGCGACTGACCTTGAGTCTTAGGTAAGTGTGTTGTTTCTGTCATACCGGATCCACTTCTCCCTACATTCCCTCAGGCTAAATAAAATTGCAACTTTCGAGTCCAAAGATTACCTCTCTTCACACAAGAACTGACAGACCGACTTAAGCATCAAACTGAGACGAGGTGGGAAAAGAAACCAATCCACAGATGTTGCAGAAGCTGCCAGGGTTGTTTCTATCAAGGATGTTTTTTTAACGTGTGGGAATACAGTACTCTGATCTACTTTTTTGTTTGTTTGTTTTTTGTGATAGATTGGGATGGGAACAAGTGTCTTTTCTTAGAGGTGGTTAAATGAATCAAATGAAAAGGAGCAGCTGTCATGTTTTAAGTGGAGGTGGAGCTGTTGGTTAACATTTTGTTTTTCAAAAACATTTTAATATAGACGAGGCAATGGAGCCAAAAGGGGACCATCATGGAGCTAGAAAGAAAGAAAGATTTTGACTGTGTGCAACTAAGCTACTTGGGTGTGGGAGTGTTTTCTCTCTTCTGACGCCAAGTGTTTATTATGAGATCTGTTTTGTTTCTCTTCAATATTGTAAGGTCCGGACCTTACTACGTAAAGTGCAGTGAGATAATGCATGTCGTGGTTTGGCGCTACACAAATACAATTAAATTGAATACAATTAATTGGCGGTGTGGTGGTTTGCGCTATCACCTCACCTCAAGAAAGTTCACGATTCAAATCCCGGCCGCGGTTTTTATATGTGGACTTTGCATGTTCGGCCCTTGTGGGTTTTTCTCTTGGTACTTTGGCTTCTACTCACAGTCTAAAGAGATACATATTGGGCTTAGGTTAATTGAAGACTGATTGAATTATTTTCAGGTCAGTTGCAGTAGTCACAATACTGATGAGAATGTTTCTGACTGAACAATGAGGTATCATGTGGCCTTTTTTGACAGAAGGTAGAAAATTCTTATATACTTGTCGCTCAAAGAGATAGTTTTGTCACAGGCATGGTAATCACACATTGCAGTCTTGACTGAAGAGCTGTGCCGCAGAGGCTATAGGAGAGGTGTGAAAGTTTACCATGGGTACCAGGGACTAGATTCCATCTGCTGGATCTCAGGCCATCTTGTAAATGGAAATACTGCACAGACACGCAAATTGGTTCATGGTTTGGTCTGGAGTTCAGAACCTGTTCCCCCATGTCTTAGACTAAAGGGTTGGAAATTCCCTCTTGTCATTCTGAATAAAGATCTTGTTGCTTTGCATGCGAACAGTTTGTGTGATTCAATGGGCAGGATATTTTCCTTTTACCTGTTAACTGTTCAAATAAAATGATCTCTGTCCTGTTTGTACTGTCGTCGTGAATTTCCTTTTCCCTTAGCTCTCATATTTGGGTTTTTTTTTTAAATGCTGCTTTGGCACACCTGTTTCTTGGCTCTCCTTTGTTATGCTTTTCATTTCCTGTTGGTGATCCCAGGTCACTGGATATAATTGCATCTTGCACGATTGACTGTTTTAGTTGCAGTGTGTTTGCACCTTTGTGTTTATGCACACACACATTTTTGTGAAGGTGTTGTTGTGGCTGTTGAATTGCACAGATTTGTTACTGCCCTCTCATCAAACTGCATGTTTGTGTTTCTGGTTGTTTGGTTGGGACTTTGTTCCTGGAGATGCCATGAAGCCCTCCAATCATACTGGAAGTGTTGCCACAATGCTTTTAAATAATCTAAATGTCAACAATTTCCATCAATATTCAGATGTTAGTGCGTTTTCCACGTGAACATGAACCACGAACAGACTCTTTGGATTTAAGATGAATTTTAGAATAAGGAATGTAGAAAAAAGAAGTTTCTACAAAAATATTCATTCAGACTTGCTGTTCTTTTTCTGGAGGATTACTGTTTAATCAAATAAGGAGTAAAATATCTATAGTAGTGCCAGTCACAGGACAGATGTGGAGTGATGGCAAGTATTTTATGTGATGGGTCAAAAAACCAAAACGTCTAGACAGTCTTCTTTAGAGTTTATTAAAATGATTATTAAAACTACAATTACTTCCCTGCGGTTTATACCTCCACAGTTTTAGTCTGCATAAATCCTTTCCCAGAGACATATGAGGTCACTGATACCTCTGAACTCTGAAATCTAATCAGTTCATCTTTTTGTCCAAGTGACAATTGATCAAAATTTGAATCTCTAAGGCAGACTGAATGTTCTAAAGGCTAAAAACATGTTTTGTTAAGGTCACAGTGACCTTGACCTTTGAACTTGAGTCAAATTAAGTCAAAATCGAACATTTGTACCAAACAGCAGACATTTCCCCAAGGCGTTCATGAGATATCGTGTTGACAAGAATGGAACGAACGAATAACCCAAAAACTTAATACCGCTTGCTTACGTCAGCATGTAGAAGGTAAAGAAAAGTGAGAACACGACATCCTCCTTACTTCAGGATTATCCAAGCATTGTGTAGTAGTAGTAGGAACTGCAAAGAATCACTGGGAGCTACCTGTGCTAAATAATGACAGATAACATATTCAGGTTCTTTATTTAAACATGCACACAGTTTTGGCCTGAGGATCTGTGGCCTGCGTGTTGTCTGAGCTCAACTGTGTTGCTCTGACAGTCAGTGATGCGTGCCTAACGCGCACGGACAAACAGAGGAGACGCTCTTGATTCGCTTGTTGGTTCATCCAGTGAGAAAACATTTCAAAGATGAGTATTTTTCATGAGGATGTATGATTCATTCTGGGCTGTTTGACCTGTGGATGAGCCCATTATTCACAGTTCAAGTTAGTTCTGTTGGCCAAGCAGCTTGGATGCTGCAGCACTGACAACGACGAGGGTACAATCACTCTGCCCTCAGAGGAACAGATGCTTCATTTCAATACAGTGTTCTAATCCCCGCTCAGTCAGTTAATTTGAGTTGACTTCACTCAGCAGAGGGAAAGTGGGACTACTTTGTCTCCATGAGGCAAGGATTGATTCCCTTCAGTGAATCTCAAAACCAATATGTCTTCGACCAACTCCTCCTCATAAGCTCAGGATTTAAACCGGTGCTGAGCATATGTAGAGAGGAAATTGGTATTTGACCAGCTCCAGTGTGCGTGTATGTGATTTTTACTTTTATTTTGTTCTCTCAGTAAAGTTCACTCTGCTACAGGGCTGTCTGTCTCAAAGCTCATTCCTTATTCTCATGAATTCACACAGCATTTTAGCTCCTGTCTCTTGTCCCAGGCCCACTTTCATGTGTGGCTGGTTAGGATGTTTGTCACGGATTGTTTTTGTTTCCTGTAAGGCCTGAACTTTGATTCAGGTCACTTTTTTTCAAGGTTCCTTGCTGTGTCGTTTTGAGTAGGAGTGGTGGATTTATAGACTCAGTCCTTGTGAAGATCTGTTTCTCTTGTGGGCACCAGAAGCCATTGAAATGAAGAGGAGAATTTCTTACCCTCCTGCAGCTCCTGCACAACCAAACAGCTCACAGAGGTGCTCCAGACACTCTCCAGCATCCAGACCAACACAGCACCAGACACACATGCCTGAATAAAACACAGACACACTCTTAAAACAACAGAAAAAGACCAGTTGGAGTTGTTTCTTTGAAGTCCGTACCTTTTAAAACCAAAGACCAGACATCTGAATTAAAAGGAATTATTGATGATATGTTGGGTCAGTGCAGAAATTCAGTCTAGGTTTACCTGATAGTATTTTTGCTATCCACCTATAAAAAATGTCTAAAATGATTCACAGGAACTAAATTTTGAATGTGTTATTTAAAGAGTGCTGTCTCTGTGAATCCATGAGTAAATATAGAAGTGAATTCAATCAAGATTGGAAGCTGGATGCTGAATAGAAGGAATTTATCACTACTTGTGTCCTGATTGAGATGAAAAGTCCGAACAAAAGATAAGTACTTAAAACTGAAGTCATCTAAAAGGAAATTGGTTGGCAGCGAGGGCACTGTGTCGTCTGAGGGCACTTTTAAAATAGCTGCCGAAGGTGACGATATGTATCAGTATGCAGACGTGTAGAGGCCTGCTTGGCTCTTTGTGTTGAAAATATACTTGTGTCAGAGCAGTGTGTCCTCAGTGTTCTCTTGCCTGGGGTTATAACTTTGAGTTAATTTTTAGGCACTGCAACAAGCTGTAAACACACTATCAACTCACCTTACACAGTTGTGGGGTTTTCTCTTTGTATGCATTCTGATATGGAGCATCATTCTCATGCCTTTCAATTACAGTCAAATATTCATATTTTAAGCTCTGTCTCAGTCTCCACCAAATCCTGAGCAAAACTATGTGGCTCTAACAGCTAATGGTTCAACTATGTTCACCAGTTATGTTGCTTTAAGACATGCACTGAACTCTGCAAGTTCTCCAGAAATGATCCGAAAGGGTTGTATGTGAGACCACAAATATTACGGTTGATTTGAACATTCTCTGGAGTTTTTTCTGGAAGTTCTCCAGTAAATTGTCTGAGAGAGCTTATTGTAACAATACAGGAGGATTCAAGAGATTGAAGAGCTTCTGGTGATGAGAATCATCCCCAGTGTTGATGTGCTGTAAATGAAAACATGTGATTTCTAATTTCCTGCATTCTCTCCATTGGTGCCACTGGACCCAATTGTGCGGACATTTTCCTGACTTAATGTCTGAATATGGCTTTAATGGCTTACTTAGTCTGCTGTTTGGTGATTGGCTGGGTAGTATGCATACATAGGTGGTGTATTAGCTTCTTCTGTGCAAAACCAAAACAATGAGCTGAAAGGTCCAAAACTGCTCCACATAGCTTAGAGCATTGCTGTAATATGTGGGGCTGTCACACTGAGTGAAATATTTCCCCACAGATAATTATTTTTACAATATGATTAGTGCACCTTTAACCTCAGTCCTGTATTCTTATTTAATATTGAAAGATAAAGCTGTAGTATCTGTGATTGCTAATAACCCTCTTCCACACCAAATACGCAGTCACACTATAGGCCTGTGAACAGTGACCTCAGTGCAGATTTTCCCTGGAACCTGCAGAGAGCTT